CCGACAGCCTGTGTGGGACCAGTCTAGATTCCTCCTTTGATAAGGTGCACACGATAAAACCTGGATCTCCCCCACCCTTCGTCGAGTCCCATTGATCGTTTTCCCTCTTGGACCGACATTGATCTACGACATCTGACGAACGTCTCTCAGTCTGCCCGACCTCAAGTCGGCCAGACAACTAGGAACCAAATAGACCGCTTCCCGTAACCTACTTCCTCCTCATGACCAATAGCTATTTATAAGCACACCCTCTCGGTATGACCATGTTCTAGAAGTTACCTATTTTCACAGACCCGCATATCTAGGCCCAAAAATAGGAACCAACGGCCACGCGTCAGGGGAATTATATAAACCCTCACATATGTGAGGGCTATGTTTTGAATATTCACTATTCGCCATTAAAACCCTAACACTTTTCTTGTATCTCTTTGCTCCCACACTTACTTGATCGTCAGAGTGCCTTGCAGGTATAACTCCTTTTTTTCCTCCTCGACATTCCAGCCCGACAGAAGATCATCATCCGACCACCTTGCATGTTCTAATCAACCGGTAAGATCAGATCCACACATCTCGAAGCAGTTATTATCCATCTTACTTCATAGATACTTTCTCATCTCAAGAGCAATAAAATATGTTTAATAGATATTATTCGTCTATAGAGCTTATTCATTCCTACCCTTAGAAGAAAATGTCTTTGAAGATGTGAGTTTTTGAAGCTCTTCGATGAAGCAATGCTAAGAAGTTTCATCAACGACATCCCAGAAGAAAATTTTCCAAATTTAGTGAGGATGTTCTAATCAAACCTCAATTATGTAGATGCATTTCCCACTAGTGAAGTATGTAAACATTCAGTTCGATTATATTTTGAAGAGTTCGTGGAGTTTTGTAACCTTCCTTATACCAGTTCTAATTACATAGAGGATGAAGAAGGAGGTAATGATTTTTCTTATGTCTTTATTACTACCTCCTTAGTAGAAAATCCAAACTACGATTTTCCTTATTCCTTCGTGATGGAAAAAGAATATTTAGATATTTTACTCATTTATTAAGTGGCAACACATATTCTTATCCCAAGAAAACATAACTTTAGGAATTTAACCAAAATAAATGTTGTTGTAGTTTGGTTACTTGCTAATAAAGTATAAATAAATTGGGCTAGTGCGATGATCTATCATATGGCAAATAGAAAGAGAAATAATACGTGGTTACCATATGGCAGTCTGATAATAAAAATATTGGATTATGGCTTCAACATTGAAGATGAAGAATCACACAAAAATTAAAACGAGATATGAAATAGTGCAATAGGAAAAATTATAATAATGATTACTAAACTAGTGTTGTCTCACAAGTCTCTCTAGGAAAATAAAGCTTCATTAAATCAACAAGTTCCACCTCATCAAGGAGAACATTCAATTTTGGAGAATATAGATTATGAGATCCATAAAACTACTTCGGCAAAAGCTCTTCTCAACACTATCATCAAGAGGCATAAAAAGAAAAACAAGATCAAATTCCTAGCTTGTCTTCTCATTCAGAATGGATAGCAGTTGCCTCCTAGATTGTTCGATGATGATGAGGATTCTGAGTAGTATTTGATTATTTTTTTTAATGTTTTTTTCTCACTTATGATATTGTACTTGAATTCTCCTTTTAATTAATAAAGTATTTCATTTATTAAATATACATGTTATTTCCTTCTTATCTCTTGATCTATGTGCTTGGATATTTTCCATTTTTGTTTCTATTTTTCCCGCCTTTTTTATAATGTCAAAAGGAAAGAAATATACTCTATATATGTTGTCATTGGGTTTTTAACCACTCAAATCTATTATTGTTGTTTTCTTTATTTGTCTAGCTCCCTAAGGGATGTGTTTTCATCATCAAAAGCGGGGAAATACGGATCTATGTGCTTACAATTATAATACATATGATACTCAATTTACGTGTTAATAAAGTATAAATAAATTGGACTAGTGCAATGATCCATCATATGACAAATATAAAGAGAAATAATATGTGGTTACCATAAAGCACTCTGATAACAAAAGTCTTGGATTATTATGGCTTCAATATTGAAGATGAAGAATCACACAAAAATTAAAACTAGATAGAAAATAGTGCAAAAGGGAAAATTAGAATAATGATTACCAAAAGAGTGTTGACTCACAAGTCTCTCTAGGAAAAGAAAGGTTTATTAAGTCAACAAGTTCCACCTCATCAAGGAGAACATTTTCAATTTTGGAGAATTTGGATTATAATATCCATCAAACTACTCTCACAAAAGAAAAATAAGAAGATCAAATTCCTAGCTTGTCTTCTCGTTTAGAATTGATCTCAGTTACCTATTAGATTGTTTGATGATGATGATGAGGATTCTAAGTCATATTTGATTATTGTTTTTTATGTTTTTTTCACTTCTCATATTGTACTTGAATTATCCTTTTAATTAATAAAGTATTTCGTTTATTAAATATACATGTTATTTCCTTCTTATCTCTTATCTATGTGCTTGGATGTTTTCCATTTTTGTTTCTCTTTTTCCTGCCTTTTTGATAATGTCAAAAGGAAATAAATATACTCTCTATGTTTGTCATTGGGATTTTAACCACTCGAGTTTATTACCGTTATTTTATTTGTTTGTCCAGCTCCCTAAGGGATGTGTTATCATCATCAAAAAGGGGGGAAATATGGATCTTTATGGTTACAGTTATAATACCTATAACACTCAATTGACTTAGATGGTGTTGGTGATGACAACACCTTGAGGCGAAGTCTTCATATGAGGTTGTTATTCTTGAGATATCAAGATGTCAAATCTAATCTCTTAAGGACAACACCTAATGTCAAGCAGCATTTAGTGGAATCTTTTATGTTTTATAGTAAATAAATTTATTCGATAATGGTTTCCATAAATAAATCTATTCGATAATGGTTTCCATTAAAAAGCAATATTTCTTTTTTGAGCAATATTTCTCTAGATGTATATCTACTCACTTTCAAACAAAAAAAATGTGTTTTTGACACTCTTTCTCACTAACTATTCATTTTATTCTCATTTCACTAAAATCACCTTAGTGCTTTAAGACTGAAAATATCAGCTAGAATTTTCTTGTGTATTCTGATGTAGGTGTAATATTGTAATTTTTGCAAGATTATTTTATCTCTTTTGGAAAATATCTTCGTAAAAAGTTTCTATTTGTTTCGTGAGATTGTCCGTGAAAATCTCTAGTTGGCTAGTGAGTTTTGCCTTGTGTTAAATCTCTCTTTTGGTTTGTGAGACTTCCCATGAAAATATCCATTTGGTTTGTGAGATGTGTCTGGTGTAAAAGCTCAAATTTGATTAGAGTTTAACCTGATATAAAATCTCGTGTTTGATTCGGAGGATAGTCAAAGTAAAACTCAAAGTTTATGTATCTCTGTGATTGTAAAAACCGTGAGTTTGTGAAAACTAAACTCTGTGTATTGTAAAAGCTAAATCTTTATGAGATTATGAAAACTAAACTCTTTGAAATTGAAAAAATAAACTTCACATTTCACTACGGTTGGTAGAAAAATGAACGTGGTGAAAAATATTTTTATTTTAATATAAATATACAAATTAAAGGGACACACCATTTTTTGTAATCGAAAAATAGAATAATGCTAGTGCCGAGGTTTGAAGCATGTAACCCTCTACATATCACCACAATTGTTTGTCTAGACTGTGGTAAAAAGTTTCTTTAATAAATAAAAAAATAAAAACGCGTAAATAAGAGTTATTACTTCGATTGATTAAATGACCGAGATAATAAGATGTTACAAAATGTATATTTTATAGTAGTGTTTGAAATAAACCTTCTAAATCCTCTCAAAACTTTACTTTAAAATACTATACGAACCCAAACTAAGGTGTATAAATGCTAATAAAGTTAAAAGTGTCTTGTTCCATTATAGATTTCAGGGTTGATTTGATCTTCTCTCCGTTTTACATCCATAATATATTTCTTCAACTCTTTGTCTAGTAATTCTCTCACTCCATTTTTTACCTAATTTTATCGACACCAAAATTTAAATCTCGGATTGTCTAATTCTTTTGTCTTTTCACCAATCCACTTAATTTCTTGTAAGTAGATGAAATCGATCTTCCTCTTAACTATAATGTCCACCATTTTTATAGATTTTCTTGTAAGTTTGTCTGTATTTTATATTTTAAAAAGGAATAGCAGCACAGCTTATTATCCGCTTGACATATATTTTTATATTAACTTAATTTTTCATATATTAGTATTTATTAACTTTAAAAAAATTGTTTATTTTTTCACTACAATCTTAGACGGTAGTGTATCGACCCTTGCTTGTTTGATAGTATTATCAAGCCATATAACATGTTGTTTTTGGAAAAGGACTTATTATTCACACTATTACATATTTGATCCATCTCATAAAAATTTGAAGAAAAAAAATATTATAATTGCCGACATCCTAATATAACCCACTTATTTTATCCGGACTTACAACCAAGTACTCATAGCAAAACTAAAACAAAATTGATTATATTTTGATTATATTTTGATTATATTTTTTACCATCAATTTTTAATTTAATTTTGATTAGTATATTTGACATGAGAGATTATTTTGGGTAATTTGAGATCACAGATAATAGTACCTAATAATAATGAAAAATCGTAACAAATAGCCCTACATATTAGTTTAATAATAAAGAAAAATCATAACAAATAACCCTATATACTAGTTTAGTCCACCTAAAAATATGGAACAAATAGCCCTATATACTAGTTTAGTCCTCCTAAGATTACTCCAAATAGTAACTCTTTTTTAGGAAGAGAGAAAGAGTAATAATAGGTCTGTTAAATATGAAAGTTTGAAAACTAAGGTTTCTAAATATCACACTACACTTTATTTTATTCAAACAAAAACGAGGGTTTACTGATTTTTATAGTATTTAAGTAAACTCCATAACACTGTAACTTTTGTTCCATGCAAGTTTAACAAACCATGAAAAATTGGATTATTGAGTTTGAAGAGAAACATGTTTTGTATTCATTATTGTGTTTTTCTGGATTGAGCATTGGAGTTACAACATGGGCCATTAATCATCTATCTAATGAGATTTCTAAGGATCAGATGGTGACAGAACTCACCAACCTAGTCTTTGATTCCACAGACCCTAAACTCACATTAGAGAATTTTCCTTACCATTTAAGGTAATGTCCTAGGTTAGTTTTTCATGCGAGTCTTTGAATTGCACTGTCTTAGACATTATGTTTTTCATAACTATTTTTTTGATTCATGCATATGATATGATGATTGAAATTGCAGTGAAAAAACCAAAATCTTGTTGACAAGTGCTGGATATGTTCATTTAACACAACATCAATTATACAAGCATGTGAAGAATCTTTCGCCGATAAACCGAGCTATTTTGCTTTGTGGACCTGGAGGTATAATATTAATATGTATATATAAGTTCAAATTATTTTGGTTTACTAATCATGTAACTGATATTTTGATTTATTTTCTTTTTTGAAGAATTCTATCAGCAATGTCTTGCTAAAGCTCTAGCAAATTATTTCGAATCGAAGATACTGTTTCTGGATTTGAATTACTTGTCTACAAAGGTAGAGTTATTTACATTTTCTCACTTTTTAACTTGTTATATTTGTAGTCATATCTATAATGTTTTTCTTTTTACAGATGCATGACACATATGGATGTTGGGTAAAAAGACAAGTGAGTATCATATGTTTTCGCAGTTACTTTTGATAAGAACATGCTATCAATTATCATGTAATGTAATGATTGTTGGCTCAGTGAAGTTTTTCTAACTTGTGCTTACTTAGATCCTACTCGAGGACCGTGTGTCTGGTTTATTCGGTTCGCTATCAACCCTCTCGTCAATGCTTTATAAGAATGCCTCTACCGAATCTAAACCAGATCATACTAGAAGTGATTTTTTGTATCTCTCTTTAGTGATTATTCTCAATACGTAGTTTTCTTAAGTTTGATAACATGCTTATTGCTTTTGTTTTTGTTTTTGTTTCCAGCTCCTTGGAAGTGCGGAAGACGTTTCTGTTTCGATGAAAAGCTTTTGCTAGATTCACTCTACAAGGTGGTTATATGATTATATCACTTCACTTTTTTCAAATTTCATTAACATTGTTCAAGTTTAGGTTTAACAAGCAAAACCTTATGTAATTTTTACAGGTTTTGGTTTCTATATCAGAAACTGGTCCGGTTATTTTATACATCAAGAATTTGGAGGAGATCTTTCTTCGATCACGAAGGCTGTACAGTTTGTTCAAAAAGCTATTCAGTAAACTTTCAGGACCAGTGTTGATACTCGGTTCCCGAACTTATGATTCAAAACATAAACGTATAAAAGTTGATAAAAGACTCACTCGGTTATTCCCTTACAACATCGAGCTCAAACCACCTAAAGACGTGACTAGTAACAGACTCTGGAAAGACCATATAGAAGATGCCAAGAAAAAGAAACAGTTGCAAAATAGCATAAGCTACATTGTTGAAGTACTTGCGGAAAATGACATTGATTGCGATGACTTGAACTCAATCAGCTATGATGATGTTATGCTACTCGGAAATCACATCTCAGAGATTGCAGCATCTGCGATATTTTATCAGTTGATGGTTAACAAACAGCCAGAGTACCGAAATGGGAAACTTATTATATCAGCCAAGAGGTAAATGTCTTGACAATAGTTTTTTATGCAATTCATTAAGAGAATAGTTTTTCTGATGAGTAATGTTGAACTTGAACCTATGCAGTTTGTGCCATATGTCGAGTGTGTTCCAAGAAGGTGAGAGTATTGCGAAGGATAAAAACGACACTAATGAATCAAAGGTTTGTTAACTAATTTTTGAGCTAGAGTATATGAATAATCCAGATAGAAAAGCATGATAGTTAATATATGCATGTTTGCAGAAAGTAGCTCCTGACAACGCCTACGAGAAGATCATAAGGCAAGAGCTTATCCCTGCAAATAAGGTAGAGGTGAGTTTTTCAGATATTGGTGCATTGGAAGATGTTAAAGAATCACTTCACGACTCGATTATGCTTCCCCTTAGAAGGCCAGACCTATTCACACACGGTGGGATATTGAAGCCGTGTAAAGGCGTATTGCTTTTTGGACCTCCCGGTACAGGAAAAACAATGCTCGCGAAGGCAATTGCAAACGAAGCTAGAGCAAGTTTCATCAATGTCTCTACGTCTACCATCACTGATATGTGGTTTGGAACTAGTGAAAAGAATGTTCGAGCTGTGTTTTCATTAGCGGCAAAGGTTGCCCCGACTATTATTTTTGTTGATGAAGTTGATAGCTTGCTTGGGACTCGTACTACGAATGAGGAAAGCGTTGGGAGAAGGATTAAAAACGAATTCATGACCCATTGGGATGGACTTTTGTCAAAACCTGACGAGAAAATTATTGTTCTTGGTGCCACCAACTTGCCATTTGCCCTTGATGAAGCAGTTATAAGACGATTTCATCGCAGGTAGAATCACACATTCGTCATGAATCGTGATCAAATGTTGCTTATGCTCAACTGCAATATCTTTTTTCATAAACCTTAGTGATTTCTGTTTATGGCAATTTTCTGCAGGATCATGGTTGGTCTTCCGTCAGCTGAAAACCGAGAAACCATCTTGAAAACTCTTCTAGCTAAGGAAAAACATGAACATATAGACTTCAAAGAGCTTTCAGCTATGACGGAAGGATATAGTGGGAGTGATCTTAAGGTTCATTTTCTTTGTCATTCTCTATTTCTTATCGGTGACGATGAACCATTGACATTAATAGTTATTAATTTCTGTAAACAGAATTTGTGCAATGCCGCGGCATATCGCCCCATTAAGGAGCTAATGGAACAGGAGAAGGAACAAGCAATGGTATAGTTACTTAATCACTTCTAATAATGTCATTGGTAAAATAATTTATATCCTATATGAACTATTCATATGCTGTAAAGCTAAGTAATAATCACTTATTTCAGAAAAAGAGGAAAAAGTGGGCAGAAGTTGAAAACTCAAAAGATGCTTCCGATACTATAGAAGAAGATCATGTGATTGTCCTCAGGCCATTAAACATGGAAGACTTAAGAGAGGCAAAGAATAAGGTGCGTTAGCTTATTTTAGATTTTCTATTGGTGTAAGCTCTGTGATATGAACTTATGAAAACAGTTTATGACATGCATAATTTGAAGCTTAATTATTTTATAATGACTTCCACATGGAAGAATGAATACTTATTTCTATGGATATGAATTGATAGATACATGTGTAAATACAGGTGGCTCCAAGCTACGCTGCAGAAGGATCAAACATGAAAATGCTAGAACAGTGGAATGATATGTATGGAGAAGGAGGTTCAAGGAAGAAAAAGGAGCAGCAGCTCAGTTATTTTATTTAGATTTGGAAATACAGTTTCATTAAGCAGAGATATTGAATGCAAAGAAAGAGATATTACATTAAATCAGATTTATCTTTGCCAAAATATTTAAACATGACCATTGTAATGAGATTATCAAATGCACTACCACCATTTAGTACCTTGTTAGTTAGCTTAGTGTTAGATATACTAGTTACTTGATGTGCAAGTTTTATGTTTTCCCTATTTTTTTATAGTTAGTTGGTTTATTAGTAAGTTAGTTTGTTTGTTAGTGAGCAAACTTCCTTTGATATATATCTCTCTCTCATTGATGTTGAGGAGGATGTCCATGGCATTATTCCCATCAAAAGGTTTGCATCTAAGAAGAATGTTGTGCAAAGAAGATTAGCCTTGGAAAGGGAATTGGGCAAGGACTTTTAAAAATGCAAATATATCGTAAAGCTTATAGAGGTGGTTGGTCTAATGAAAACTGTCTCAAGCTTTAGCCCTTGCTACGAAAGACTAGTGAAGGAGTTTGTGGTAAATATATCTGATGGTTGTGTGTGGTGGGGAGGGAAGATCACATGAAGGTATATGTTACGGGCAATATTGTAACATTTTCTCCCACTGTGATCAACAAATTTCTAGGCAGATCTGAAGAGCCTCAAGCTGAACTAGAGGCTTCAAATAATAAAGTGTGCAGAAAAATCACTAGGGTAAAGTAAAGCATTGGCCAAAAGATGGGAAGTTATCCTCTGGTAAGCTTAGTGTGAAGCATGTCATTCTTCACAGGGTGACTATTGGGTTCCCACAAACCATACATCCACTATCTCCACTGGGCTGAGAAAATTCATATTTGCCATTAGAAGGAATTTTGTAAAAAATATTTTTTCTTCCGTTGTTCTAACGGAGGAATTTTGACGCCAGGTGGCACAATCATTTGGCCATCCTTCACCAATAAATCAAAAATTTCATCACACTTTGTTACATCGAAAGTGTATGTTTTCTTAGGGAATTTATCATTCTTCTCTAGTTCAACAGGATTCTTCCCATTCGAAGTGGCTAAGACTTTACAGGAATAAGGTGGGGCTTGCTTTAATTCATCCAAATCCACTTTTCTTTCTTCGAAACCTAAAGGGTCACTATAGATCTCTTGTTCCTCTTCGGCTTTGACATATTCCACCCTTTTTTTTCTACTGTTTTTATTCGCCCTAGCCTTTTCAGCTTTCAAACATTCGACTTATTAAACTCTATCTGCTAATTGGGCCATGTCCATTAAATATTGAGTATCTAACTTCTTTCGAATGAAATAATCCAAACCGCCTGCGGCCATTTCAACCAACTCATGTTCAGGCAGCTGTGTAAAGCATTTTGCCTTCAATAAACGAACCTGTTTAAGTAATCATCAATTGTCTCAGTAAACTTTCTCTTAATATTAGCCAATTCTTTGAGACTAATCTTCGATTGTCCCATGTAAAACTGATAATGGAATAACCTCTCTAAGCGAGTCCAATCATGGATGGAATTCACTGGGAGGTTAGTCAACCATGTAAAAGCATTTTTCGTTAGCAAACTAGGGAAGTATTTTATCCTTAGGTTTTCATTGTTCGCTATGTCCCCAGCCTCGGTAAGATACTTGGCTATATGTTCGACAGTAGATTCACTGGTGTCACCAGAGAATTTTGTGAACTTTGGGACTTTCCAACCTCTGGGTAATTCAGCCTGTAGAACATACTCAGACAAAAGAGATGTGTAATTTGGCCTTTGAAGGCCTATATTTACCCTATTTTGAGCCATTATTCTTTCGACCATGGCAGCCAGATTATTTTCCCATGGGTATTCATCTTGTCGGACATGCTGAAGGATTTCATTTGCGCCCTGGTTTCAATTGACCATCATAACCCTTTGGGTTGGGTTTTCTCTTGGTATGGCTTGTTCGGCCTTGGGTTGTTCGATTATGGGGCCCTGGTTGACTTCACCAACATTCTACACAATTGGTTGCACTTGGTTGATTGTTGGGTCCTCTTCAACTACTAACCCTTGGTTTTCTCTCATCCAATCTCAACGAGCCTGTCGTACTGGGACTTGGGGAGCGCCAAAAAAATCTACAATTCACGCCATCTGTGCTGCCAACTGTTGATTTGTTTGGGTATTTTGTTGGTTGGTTTGAGTAGTACTTTGGATTAATGGGTTAAAGATTGTACCCATTTGTTGGGCTAGAACACCGACCATTTCATGATTGTTGTCATTCATTTATTGTCGAAATGTTGTTGTAGAACTCATTGTTAGGTTAGGAAATTGGGCAACAAATCCTGGGGGTGGGACATTTCGACCCATGTTATTCATTCCTGATCCCGATCCTTGTAGTGGCGAAAATATTGACATTCTTGGGTTAGGAAATATGGATGCACTATTGTTTAGACTTGCCATCATAGATGTTGGTTGGCATGCCATAAATCTGTTAGCGGCCATCCATTGGCATTGTGAATCCAAATGCAAAGTGCCTGAAATTGTTCGTCCCTGGTGGCCTTCTGGTCACTGGGGAACCCTGTGTATGCACTGGGGATATAACTAGACCGCTAAAAGAATTTGTCAAAATTCCCATTGTATTTACTTGAACAGATATCAATTCAGTTGTAGATAACACATATGTACTTTCCTCTGTCGAATGGGGTGGTTGTTCTCCATTTATTGGATGGGTTAACCATCTTCCTAGTGTATTTTCTCTTGAGTATAGGTTCGTTAGTTTTGGATAATTTTCCACTCTTTAATATCATACAAAAATGTTAAACAATTGAAACGAAAAACACCGTATAATACAAAAATTTATGACAAAACTTAGACATTGGTTCCAAAACAAAAATAATTTGTTGGTTACTCCCAGGATCGACTAGATTGATCCTAGAACATATGTCTACTAAAGTTGTTTTACTAGTGTTCTAGATATTTGTTCTATGTCGAAAAGATAAATATAACGAAGGCAAAAGTAAAGACAAAGGATTAAAGATAAAGGCAGAAAAGGTTTTAAAGTAAAACTAGAATGTAAAGAATCCGACTTAAACTTAAACGAAAAGTAAAAGACTTGATTAAATGTAAATGACTTTGAATATAAATTGGTGTTTCTATACGTACATTCTCAATATTGTTTTCTTTAACACTGGTACTTCGAGTTTGTATAAGTGATTTGTACAAAAGTGAACACACTGAATCCTAATACAAAGATCTTAATTTATACTAATTCGATCCTAACAGTCTTTTTCTACAAAAGTGCAACGTTCGAGTCTTGCATGCTTCTTCGAATCGTCAGGCTTCCACGCGTCCTTCTGGATAAGATCAATCCATTTGAATTTGAATCCTTCTTTAATTCGAAGTGCCAAAACAACATGACTTGTCGAAACATTCAAATTCAAAACTTGAATTTTCATTAAGTCTCATATATTCCGTAATAAGACTTTCGCCACTGCTTAACATAATTAAACTGTCCATAATTTAATCAGTCGAAATACCATATGAAATATTCTCTTCCACAACTAAACTTCCGATTTCTTCATTTTCCATAATGTCATATGCCGTTGAAATTCTCAACTAGCACTAAAATAGAACTTCAAACCTAATATTTATAATTTTGAATCATAGAAATTGTATCATCTTTCAGGATAAGATAATTAAACCTCCAATTAACTATACAAGCACCACAATCAAAAAATGTTTCAACCATTCACCACTTATATTTTTTATCTGTATTTTAATATCGACAAATTGTTTAGACCTATATTATGTTAAGATTAATATTTTGATATTCATTTTAATTAAATTAAGTATTGCAGCATATTAGAATGTGTCAGCTTATTGTTAGCTATTTTATTGTTTCAGTCAAAGTCAGTACCTAGATTTTAGGAAGGAATAAATTGCTCCACATATAATGGGCAGTTAGGGAGATCGTGTGATATTGTGTAAGCCTATTTATTGGCCTTTTTCTTATTTAATTAAGCAAGTTTTCAGCATTTGATTCTAACATCTGGTATCAGAGCAGAAAATTTCACAAGAATCAAGAGAGAAAGAGCAGATGGCGTCCGAAGGCGGCGATCGTTTTAATCTACCATCAATTCTTAAATTTGATGGTGATTATGATCACTGGAGCATGCTCATGGAGAACCTTCTTCGTTCGAAGGAGTATTGGATTGTTGTGACCATAGGCCTCGTTCAACCCGCTGCAGGAGAAGTGCCGACGGCTGCACAGAGAAAGACGGCGGAAGAGATGCAGTTGAAGGACCTGAAAGCCAAGAATTTATTGTTTCAATCTCTTGACAAGTTAATTCTGAAGACAATCCCAAAGAAGGAAACATCGAAACAAATCTGTGATTCAATGAAGATGAAATACCAGGGCAATGTTCGAGTTCAGCGAGCCCAACTCAATCGATTGTGCAGAGAGTTTGAGATCCTTGCCATGAAGCAAGGAGAATCAATCAATGATTACTTCGGTAGGGTAATGGTGATTGCAAACAATATGAGGAATTATGGTGAAGATATGACTGATGTCAAGGTCGTCGAGAAGATTTTGAGAACCCTCGCTGAAAAGTGGAACTATATTGTGTGTTCCATTGAGGAAGCCAAAGATATGGACACGCTTACTGTCGACGAGTTGCAAAGCTCCCTTCTTGTGCACGATCAAAAATTCAAGAAGGAAGTAGATGAAGAGCAAGCACTCACGGTGGCATACAGTGAGAATAATGGTGGAAGAAGACAAGGCAGCCGCGGAGATTTCAGAGGAGGCAGAGGTCAGAAACCCTATAGCAAGGCAACCATTGAATGTTATAAGTGCCATCAGTTGGGTCACTTTCAGTATGAGTGTCCAAATATGGCTAAGCAAGCAAATTACACTAAAATTGAAGAAATTGAGGAGATGTTGCTCATGGCTTATCATGAATCATTTGGGTAAAGCAAAAATGATGTGTGGTTTCTAGATTCAGGATGCAGTAATCACATGTGTGGAGACCCGTCATTATTTAATCGGTTGGAAGATGGATTTCAAAGAACAGTGC